ATGAACAGAAAGGTGAAGATATGTTGCCCAAAAGCAAGAAAAATAGGGTGATCAGGATCAACAAAATAATTAGTGTAGTATTCATTAACAGTTCATAAATTAGATTCTAATCTGTTCCCCATTTATCACTATCCCCAGACAGTATATGAGCAAACTATCAGTGCTTCTGTACTATTTTAATTCCTTGTTGAAATCTCTTACATTGGATTCTCTTTGTCTTTGATGAACAATTAAAAAGGCAAGTTACTTTTGTCTCATTTTTATTTATCTATTACTTACAAGTATACCTAATCATTAAAACTAAGAAAGAACTTTTTGTATTATACAATAAAAATTCTTGCATAATTCTCTTATTCTATAAACCTTTCAAGTACATTATTTACTGTGATTAATTATCAAAAGGAAATGGCAAAGGGGAATAACTCAGTAGAATACAAATTAATAGAACCCTGGCCAGGACCAGAACACTTGACCAAATGGTCCAGATGTTCAAAAATCTGGTGAAAATACCCTTCCTTATTAAAACTTTTACTCTTTTTGCCTCTGATATGCCCAGGTGCAGAGAAGATTTTAAAGAAATAAGGCATTTTTATTGCAGATTCACTATATTATTAATAGAGCCCCCCCCCCCCCCTCCAGCGAGAAACACCAGATCCTCTCATCCTGGGACCAGAAGTTTGCTCATCATAAGTAATCACTTTGTTTATCTGCTTAACACTAAGAGTAGACAGGATTATTTAATAGAATTAATGCATTTTCACTATATTATCAAGAGCCCCACCCTTACACCAGCACATCTGACCCAGGGGTCATGCAATTCACTACTCTGGAAGAAGCACTCTTGCTCATTATAACTGTACACTTAGCTTCTTTGCTTTTTAACCAGGAGCAGAAAAGAATATTTTCAAAGAAATTTTGTTTTTTCAGTATATAAACAAGAGAGCCCCCCCCCTTTTCACCAGAACCCTTGACCCTGGGGCAATGATATTCACAATTTTGGAAGAAGCAGCCTTGCTTATCATAACAATGTACTTAATTTGTTTAAATAATACCCAGGGGCAGAGAAGAAGATTTTCAAAGAAATAATTCACCTTCACTATAGGATCTATATAGCCCCACCCTAACACCAGAACTCCTGATCCTTGGGCCATGAATTTCACAATTTTGGAAGAGGCATCCTTGCTTATCATAACTATGTATTTAATTTGGTTAAATAATACCCAGGAGTAGAGAAGAAGATTTTCAAAGAAATAATGCACTTTCACTATATGATCTATATAGTTCCACCCTAGCACCAGAACCCTTGACCCTGGGGCTATGAATTTCACAATTTTGGTAGAGTCACTCTTGCTTATCATAACTATGTATTTGATTTGGTTAAATAATACCCAGGAGTAGAGAAGATTTCCAAAGAAATAATGCACTTTCACTATATGATCTATATAGCCCCGCCCTAGCACCAGAACCCCTGACCCTGGGGCTATGAATTTCACAATTTTGGTAGTGTCACTCTTGCTTATCATAACTATGAATTTAACTGGTTTAAATAATACCCAGGGGCAGAGAAGAAGATTTTCAAAGAAATAATTCACCTTCACTACATGATCTATATAGCCCCATCCTAGCATCAGAACCCCTGACCCTGGGGCTATGAATTTCACAATTTTGGTAGAGTCACTCTTGCTTATCATAACTATGTATTTAATTTGTTTCAATAATACCCAGGAGTAGAGAAGAAGATTTTCAAAGAAATAATGCACTTTCACTATATGATCTATATAGCCCCGCCCTAGCACCAGAACCCCTGACCCTGGGGCCATGAATTTCACAATTTTGGTAGAGGGCTCAATGCTTATTACAATCATACCAACAGTTTGACTGCTTGATGTCCAGGAGTAAAGAAGAAGATTTTTAAAGAAAGCACTAATTTTGATTGTTTTAGCCCCACCCCTCAGGCCCAGGGGGGCAGGGACCATGAAATTCACAATTTTTGTACCCCTTCACCCATTGGTGCTATATGCCAAAATTGGTTGAAATTGGATCAGTGGTTCAAGAGAAGAAGCTGAAAATGTTCAAAAGTTTACGACCGACTGACGACGGACGACGACGGACGAAAACAGATAGCAATAGGTCACCTGAGTGACTCAGGTGACCTAAAAATGCTCAAACCTGAAGTTCAAATCTGAGAAACTTATGTCAAAAAAAAGGGGGGAATGCAAACAACTTTAATTTACTTCAGATAAATGGCTCCTCTTAACATATATAAGAGGGGTCTGTTGTGTGACCTGGAGGGAGTGTTTCTAAGGTCATTTTTCCATTACTCTGCATGAAAATTCATTTAACATCGATAAACCAAGACCAATATTTTGCTTTCGTGTCATTTAATTTCCACATTTTTTTTTAATTTTGTATATCTCTAAATTGTGTTCGTGTTCTCGGCAAGGAAGATATAGCTTTTTTTATTAGGATTGATTGATTGATTGATTACAATTGCTTAACTCTGAGTCAGAATTTTAAATGCATATTGCCAACTCACCCGATTTCGTCGGGTTACACCCGATTTTTCGACCCTTAACCCAATTATTTTTTATGACACAGCGGGTCATGCTTTTCTCCCAATTTTTGCCTAACAACCCGAAAATCTCCCGATTTCCGGATTTGGTTTGTAAATTAGTTTGCACTTTTAACTTCCAGTTACAACCCAAACTTGGATCTATGTAAACAATGCCGATGGCTATGTACAGTGGGCAGTATACCGGTAAATTATCAGTGCAGGTGTAAACAATTAATTGGGATTTGTTTTGACAAATCAGTTTTACATATGTAAGTCATTATAAAATGGCTTCTGCTAGAACGAGATCGTTATCAGGGCCAGTGGTAGTAAGAATAATCTAACTGTATCTCAGGACAAGCCCTCACCTCATACCGGGTCCATAGGACAATATCATTTTAATGATAGAACTTTCTATCTAGGCCAGTGGGAACAAAAGAAAAATGAAACATTTATGTACTTATGAAGAATTTTGGAAAACGGCTTTCATTAGATAAAATAAAGTGATGAAAGATAGTGTGGAGCTGTTTGTACATTTAATACACATTGCACTTGTAAATAAGGTCTGGAGATGTAAAATAACTTCAAAACCAAGATTGGAATGCTGTCAAATTTATCACAAAATTCCCATGTGCAATGCAGATTCTGAAAAGGCTTTCATTATTTAGAAAAAAAATGCTCATTTAATTCAGGTCAATATCGAGTAATGAAACCTTCAATGTCCTATATATATATGTAAATTTATTAAATCAATGAATTATATAATATTCAAATTTGGCCATTGTGAGTTAAAGCTTTTTTAAAGTAAAATTATAATTCTCAATACACAAATGCATATATATATATATATATATATATATATATATATATATATATATATATAATTTAATTATGGTAAATATGTCGTGAATGTCATCACGCAGTATGACCAGATTTTTTAACTTTCCAAATCTGGTCATAACCAGATTTTCACATGTTGGAGGTTGGCAAGTGTGTAAATGAGATTTGCAAAACTACGAAAAGTGATTATTATTTCTGTGGAAGGTTTTAAATAATATTGTCAAAGCCTTCTAGGAGAACATTCAAGGACAAAACAAATTTTATGAAAAATAACAGGAAAAAACGAAATTTTAAAAATATGACTTTGTGTCTGTTGCCATGCCAACAGTGACAAATTTGAAAATTTCAAAGGGCTTTAGCACAACTACATGTGGTGATCATCATTTCAATAAAGTTTCAGTAAGTTTGTCCATGCCATTTTCGAGAAACTTGCAGGACAGAATCACTAGCAATTTAACACCAAATTGTTCATGACTGACATCAACTTTTCTTCAATTAATCGTAATTTATGTCCGACCTTTTTTCAATTTTTTGGCCTAAATTTTTTTGACAGGATCGAGGCAAGGAACACTTCTTTAAAGTTTCAAAAAGATTTGATTGAAAGCAGCGGAGAAAGATCAAATTAAAAAGATACCACATTTTATCAGTTTCCATGGCAACAGGGTCATGTGACATAAACTTTTCTTCAATCAATCGTAATTTCCGTCCAACCTTTATTCAATTTTTTGGCCTAAATTTATTTGACAGGCGGCAAGTAACACTTCTTTAAAGTTTCAAAAAGATTTGATTGAAAGCAGCAGAGAAAGATAAAATTAAAAAGATACCACTTTTTATCAGTTTCCATGGCAACAGTGGCCATCTTGAACATTTTGAAGGAACATTACACATCTTTAATTAGTGATCATTATGACAGTGGAGTTTCATCAAGATTGACAGAGCCATCTTTGTGCGGACAGGGTTATTGGTCAAACAATAGCAATATGTCTCCCCGACTTCATCCGGGGTGACATAATAATAAGAAACAGAGTAAAAACAATATGTTCCCCAACCACATTTGGGGAACATAATTAAAAACACAGTAAAAGCAATATGTTCCCAAACTTGGAATGGGGAACATAATTACACTACCTGAGGATGCTTCCATGTAAATATCACTGATCATGGGATTGCTATTCTTGAGAAAAAGATATTTTAAAAAATTATATATATACCCACTGGGGTCTCACCATAGCCCCTGAAGACATGATTTGAAAAGGTTGAATCTAGATTTTTAAAAGATGCCATTAAATTTTCACTAATTCTGTATTACCTCTCTTTGAAAGAGTACATGGCTCTTCCTTTGAACAAATTTGAATACCCTTTACCAAAGGATACTTTTTGACAGGTTTGGTTGAAATTGGCGCAGTGGTTCTGGAGAAGAAGATAAAAATGTGAAAAGTTCAAAATGACAGATGACACACAACAGATGACAGATGCTGCTGAACACCCTTCCATCAAAAACTTGAGCCTTTGGCTCACATGAGCTATAAACAGTAATCTAAGTGACTCATGTAACCTTTTAGTAGGAAATCTCTAGATCCACAGTCAAGATAATTATCAGATTGCTTACCTTGATCAATTTCTATTTCATTTTTGACATCAAACATGAGTACTAAAGGCAGGCATCCCTGAAATAAGTTAAGAAATAAAATAAATCAAACATTTAGCAAACCTACTGTATCTCACTTTTAATATGTGGGAATTTTATTTTCACATAATTATGCAAGACAGTCTGCTGGCAAAAATTTCATTCTCACATATAATTTTCCTTCTAAGTGTGAAAGGACATCAAAAGAATTGAACTTTCCCTGAGTGTAAGTGCCCTTGTTTTCAAACAGTATGGTTTGTGCCTGTATTACATATTATGAAGGTGTATTTTTATTTGATGAAACTGTAGCTCTACTGGTTTATACTTATAAATAATAAAGGAAGTAAAAAGTAGCATTTGGACTTGAAACTTTGCAACAGCAATAAATAAAATAATGATCCTTGGTTAAATCTCTTTTTGTGGCAAGATTTAAAAATTGTAGGAGCAGCAGCTTTTTTTAATGTATTTCACAGAAATTGTTTTAGTAAACATGGCAACACCGTTCATCAAAATCAAAAAGCTATATGTAGAATTATGTGGCTTAGTGTAATCTACTTCCCAAGTTGTATTAAAATTGGACTAAAACTGTAGGATGATGAGTAGTATTTTTTTTTTAAAAATTTTCACAGAAATTTCTTCTTTTAGAAATCATGGCAACACCATTTACCAAAATCAAAAACTAATAAAACAAGAAGTCTGTGAGCCAAAACTCACTAGTATTACCCCCACACTGATGTGAATATACTAGGGATGGCAATTTGTAACCGGTTAACCGATTACTCGGTCAGAACGATGGTAATCGGTTAGAAAATCTGTAATCGGTTAGTTGGAAAAAAATAAAATATAAGTAAATTTGAATGCAATTTTCCTAAAATTTATTTCTAACTAGAACTGTCCAAAAGGGACAAATACCCCCTGCTGGGTTTTTCAGAGGTGCCAAATCACTAATATTCTATGGATCAAAGAGGTGTTCACAATTTTCTTATTAACATTTAGAGTGAAAAAATAATTGCTCATTATATTTTTTTTAAGAATGAAACTAAGGAACAACCTAATAAAACATCAATACCAATACATTGTAATTACATTGTTTTTAATACGTTGAAAATATAAATTGCAACTATCTGTCATCTTTTTGAGACATGACATTCTGCAAATTGATTTTTTGAAGAAAAAGAATCAATTAATTACAAAATCAAATTAATCTTGATAACTTTATATCAAATTCATTTTAAAAATGAAAGGCTGGTCATCCTTTAACTATGTACTATGACAGACAATAAATTACAATGAAGAGAATTAAAGAACAGAGATCTTTAAATTCCCAGGAGATATAGATAACACATGCTTGATCAGAGATGCCCTAACAGCTTCCCACACTGAACTCATTAATTAATCTTTAACTGGATGCATGTCCACTCATTACTCCCAAGGGACAAATGGATTTACACTATCTGCTGTGTAATGTAAAAATTGTTTTTAATACTTGGTGATTTTTTTTGTTTTTGTTTTAATGAATAGTTTTAAGCTGTAGTTCACATTTTTGTACAGATGTTCTAGATTCTGTGTCTCAAACCTTAGAAAAAAACCCAAAATGACTAAATCAATAAAAATGAAAAAAAAAAACCTGTAAAATGCAGAAAAATTATCAAATAATGTTGAAAATACCAGGTGCACATCTTCATATGGTAAATAATGAGTGTACAAATTTTCATACAATTCTATGAAATAGTCTTTGAGAAAAGGTCAGGACAAAACCACATAATAAAAATGAAAAAAAAAACACCTGTAAAATGCAGAAAAATTATTCAATCATGATGAAAATACCAGGTGCAAACCTTCATATGGTGAATAATAAGTGTACAAATTTTCAGACAGATCTATGCAATAGTTTCCGAGAAACGCTCTGGACAAAATCTTGTCTACAGACAGACGGACAGACAGACGCACATGGTGATTCCAATATACCCCCCTAAACTTCGTTTGCGGGGGGTATAAAAAAGAAACCCCTGCATAAAAGTTGATAATTTAGTGTTTTCACATATCTGTTTAAGCTGATTTTGAGGTAATGATGGCTTTACAGTTTGAGATTGCGGAGTAGTTGGTCAGTTTGTGAAGTTAATAAGGGTTTTTAAAAAAGCCACGTCATTACCCCCGGTTGTCCTGTAATTCTTTAATGATATTAAATCATCGTTGAGCACTTTGAATTGGTACTGTGTCTTTTGCCATTATCTATTAAATTATATCATTAGACAAACATTGTAAATCAGGTAAAAGTTCAGCCATAGTTTTGATTATTGTAACAATGCAAAATGAACCTGTGTGACATATGCTCTGAAAAATTATCAATGTCCAATTTCTCAGACATGTTTCATGGTTTTCTTATTTTTTCTTGATTATTGAAATTGAAATAAAATATATTTACAAGTAGTTTCCTGGTCTAGATAAATAGAATTTTTTAACTTCTAACTTTTTTTCAATCTTCTTGTGTATATGAATAAGAAAATATCTGTTTTGATACAATTAACCGGTTAATCGGTCGGAACGTCTTGCGGTTAACCGATTAGCAATTCTGTATTCGATTGCCATCCCTAGAATATACACTTTTCTTTGAATATACCCAAAGAAGTTGATTCAGTTCATGTAACATGACGCCCTCAAATTTACCCCAAAAATAAATTATACTTTTGAAAAATATTTAGTTTAAGAAAAATATGTTAAATATATGAATTATTTAAATTTTTCAATGGTTTTTAAAAATTTTGCCTCAATGTGCTACTTCTCATGTGATAAACTTCGATGGAATCAGAATTTCCGGAAAAAAACTACAAATTTTCTCATACAATTCAGTATTTTACCAGAAGCGCATTAATTTACCAACTTGTTACTTTGCCAAAGAATAAAACTATGTATGAGCGACTTCCATGCCAAAAATCACGATGGTAAAATTCTACGCACTATCTTAATTTTATACAAATACAAGTTCAAATATGGGAGTTGCTTCCCTTTTGTTGTCAACAAAATCAAATATGATGTCACCACAGTGACATGCAGACAAGATACATTTATCAACGATCCTCCGAAATGTAGAGAGAGATCCAGAACTGTCACTGTCATTTAGGTAAGCTTAAATCCCTAGAATTGCAGTATTATGAAAACAGACTACATTTGTAACCCCCTCCTCTTGATGCGGAGACGCTTTATAGTGATAATGACATATTACGAAGTCGTGTCCTGCACAAACCATGCAAGAAGATTATGAATTCATTAATTAATTAGCGCCTTTTCGACACTTCCAAAGATCTAGTACTTACCTTTCCATAAATTTTTTTTAATGCAATGACGATTTTAAAAGTTATGATACACTGTCTTGTATACCATCATATCAGTCATTCTACAAAAACATGACCAATTAAGATTTTTTTATGTCGCTTACAAATTTACCGTTGTAACATATCTTAATAAATATAAATTTAAAGATCGATTTCAACTCAAAGACTTAACATACACACATGGTTTTGTAAATATTTACCAATATACAGTACAGGCAACGCGGATCCCATATTAGACCGCGTCCCCTCGGCAGTGTGTTAATCCTTTCCGCATTACACCGTCACGGGTTTTGATTGCAGTACTCCCTGCGACCGTTTTTTCACCGCGGCAGGGCCAGCTACCGTTCTTCCTCAGCTTAGAGTTGTTACCTGTAAAGTGTTTGCGATTTTTCATCGTGACGAAAAAGGGGGGGGGAATTTATTGAAGATCATGGCCTACATTATATCGTGAATATCATTAAATGAATTTTTTATTTAATTCTTAGTAATATCAAATTGTATAATAATTATTTATTTCCTATGTTTTTAATCAATAGCCACTCAAAATTAATTATTTCTCATATTTAAGAAAAGCATTTATAGCTAGTACATATGGTAAAATTCGATGAAATATCATCAGCTCATTTACCGTAAATAATTAATTAAAATCAATAATTCCAACATAAATTATCTTGAAATCGCTAAATAATTCACCTTATAACAGTAGCATTATATTCTTAATGCATTTCAATGCAGCGTCCACGATTAGCCCGTGCAGTTACGTTCTCAGTTACATGAAGCTAATACGTTTGGTTTTCTGCGAGATTCGTTCATATTCGGTCATTGGTTTCTTAAAAATAAAATATGCCTTTGTATATATATATAATTATCTGATTTAATTATTAGAATGAAAAACGATGATAGATAGAGATGGTAACAGTATTAAACACGTGTACATTTAGGAATATGTTGCACCTTTAACTGCTAATATTATGTGTTAAACATGTAAGACTGTATAGAAGGAATATCAACATGACCTTTTTTCATCATTGTTGTTAATAAAATCATTACACCCTATATATATTTGGGATAATTTCATAGCTAGTTTTTCCATTTTCTTTCTTTTTGAAAATAATATGATCATGCTCATTTACACGCATCGTCAAATCGGAAAGACCCTCTTTACCAGCTGACTTTGGGCCCTAAAATAATTTGAACGTACAAAACAAAAAAAAATTATTATATTCAGAGACAAAATGTGTTAGAGCGATAGGCTACGAGTTTTCAGGTGTCTGTGTACCGGTAACTGGCCATTACCCCAACGAGATACCTGCAAAACCTTCAGATTGCGTAATATTACATCGTGAAGCAATATTGGCGATCTAATAGATAAATAGTGAAATAGTAAAAATAGTGTCTGTGGCTGTTACTGTTTCCGTGTTTTTCAGAAACTCGATCGTAGAATTGGACAATCAAAGTCCACAACTGGTCAGTAAATTGATAAATTGGATACAGTATAATATTATCTGTTCACAGAAATGATTATTTTAATTTGAAACTGAAAAAAACAAGAGGCCCAAGGGCCTTAACGGTCACCTGAGTATAATACAACAATTTAAAGGATCCATAGAGTATAAAATGAACTGAAAGGTGAAGCTTTGTTGCCCAAAAGCAAGAAAAATAGGGTGATCAGGATCAACAATATTATTAGTCTAGTATTCATTAACAG